AGTGCTGCCACACTTCAGTTCCCCTTGCCTGTGGGTGTCCTATAGGCTTCTGTTTGGCAACAGGCTGGGGGACTAGAATGGGCCTTTGGCCTGATCAGGCAGATCTCTTTGCACGTTCTCTGTATATATACGTTCTGATTGACAGCAAGGTTCAAAAGCCTGCTCTTGGGCCTTTTCCAAGATTAAATTGCCCCCAATCAGGGTGAATGAAGAACATTTGTTGTGGTTTGTGGTCATACCTTATAATAACAACAGCTTGGGTGTGCTTTTGGATTCCATGCTGCTTCTTGATATTCAGGTGGCAGCTGGTGCCAAGGATGCCTTTAACCAGCATAGGCTTGTTCGCCAACTATGCCTGTTCATGAAGAGAAGCAACCTCGTCTCAGCAGCTTGTGCCTTAATCACACCCAGACTGGACGATTGCGATGCAGTCTTCCCGCATGACTCAGCACAGAGAACCAGGGAGTTCAAGCCCTGCTAACATGCTAGATTCTCCCATGTCAATATTTTTAGTGCTTGGGGAGACCTCATCCTATGACGCTACTCTGCCTTCTTACTTGACCTCATGACTTAAAACCTGACATGCCTAATTTCAAGACACCAGAATGACTTGCAGGACCATATTATGTGTGAATTTATTTGTTTCCAGGCTGTAGATGCTCACCCAGTCATTGCACGGATCAAAAGTTGAGGAAAGTAGCAATCTCTATTTCCCCCTCCTTTTTATATGCTGTAAGCCACCCAGAGAGGCTGGGGAAACCCAGTCAAATAGGTGGGGGTTTAAATATTATTATTATTGTTATTATTTCCTACTTTTATCTTGTTTGTTATATTGAATTAGTTTTTCCCCTCTATTGCCTCCAGAAAGAGGATTCGGTCAACGCCAACTACTATATATTTAGGGAACAGTTTGGGGCAAAGGGAAGATGACTTGGAAAAATAGAGATAGAATTCTTAGTGGCTTGACAACACGACAACAGTGGCAACATATGAACAGACAGCTTGCAGACTTTCTTTGGATAAATGCAATGCTATTTGAAATGAGTTTACACTATAGTGACTGGCAATTATATCTGTATTAGGATAATAAGAATAGACACATCTGCATATTAATATATGGTAATGTGGCAGTATTTTTGAAATGAAATTCTCTTTTAAAAATGTACTGTTGCGCTTGCTGCTGCTGTAGTGAGAACCTACCTCTCATACAGCTGCTATTAGTTTTGTGCTTTCTTTGTGGGAAAAGAACAACTGTGGAATAATGTGCATTTGAGGATTTTGAGTTGCAGTCAGCTTAGCTGACCAGAGGGCGTGCTCCAAACTCTGCCTTGTGTGGTGTTCTGGAGCACTGTAATCTGCCTTAGATGGAGGGCAGCCTTTCTCAACAGAGGGTGAGGTTTTTCTTTTCTGGTAATCATCTCCATCTTTATCTGGGTGGAGTCTAGTGTCGAATCACAATGAGGTGGCTACTGCTAGCTTTGGGAGGACCTATGATATGCCTTACCACCAAGTATCAGGAAATGGGCCAAAGGTGGAAAGGAGTGTCTCCTGCTACTAGAGTATAGTTCATGTGTTTTGTGTCTTGTTTGTACAGCTAGTATGTGATTAGGGGGTTGAGTGGCTTTTTTATAACTTAAAAATGTAGTTCCACTCGTAAGGCTTTCCTTGTATGCAGTGGGTTGCTCCCCAGCTGTGAAAACAACTTATTCTTTCCTTTTCACTCTTAATGATGCTCTGTCATTTTGGGTCCCCATCAATATGATTTCAGTTTCCTTCCCCTGGGAGTCTGCTGTACAGGAGTTCCTGTTTGAACAACTGAAATACAAAGTATTAATTTAAGGAAGCTAGGGGGTGGAGGTTTCAAATCAGTCCCAAATATTTTGACTTTTTCCAGATCTCTAAAATCATTAAAAAGGTAAAGGGACCCCTGACCATTAGGTCCAGTCGTGACCGACTCTGGGGTTGCAGTGCTCATCTCGCTTTATTGGCTGAGGGAGCTGGCGTACAGCTTCCGGGTCATGTGGCCAGCATGACTAAACCGCTTCTGGCAAACCAGAGCAGTGCACGGAAACACCGTTTACCTTCCCGCCAGAGCGGTACCTATTTATCTACTTGCGCTGGTGTGCTTTCGAACTGCTAGGTTGGCAGGAGCTGGGACAGAGCAATGGGAGCTCACCCCATCACGGGAATTTGAACTGCAGACCTTCTGATTGGCAAGTCCTAGGCTCTGTGGTTTAACCCACAGCGCCACCCGTGTCCCAAAATCATTACTTTGCATAAAAGCAGGGAGAGATGTCCCTTAGGCTATCTTACGCATCCATGCAGGCTTTTAAGTAACTGCTCACCTGCAGCAAGGGAGACTTGCCTCAAGGCCAACAGGAGGAAATTTCTCTGTAAAATGGGGGTTCTTTTTTCCACCACAGTTTCAGATCTGCAGTTTCCCATATGGCTGAACAGGTGAGATCATTCTGTCCAATAGGTGAGATCATGCTGCCAGAACATCAGGTTCAGCAGAATATTAATTTTGTGGTCTCTGTCCACAACCGGGAGGGTGATAGGAACAGAGCGGGGACTGGATATTCATCTCAAACTTAACTCCCAGAATAAATTGCCATCTGTGATGATACTCTCAGAGTTGGCTTTTATTCACAAGTTTCTAATCTGCAGTGCTCTTGGCTCAACAGACTCTGTGGAACACTTGCTAGTGACATTGAAATGATGCAGAGATCCCTTGTCATGTGACACTGATCTATTTGAATGTCAGGGCTGCTGAATCCCCTGCAAAGCAGCTTGTGGCTTACGGCTGTCACCATTTCAGCCATGGGTGGCTGTGGGTGAGTGGGCAGGTTCACTGCTAGGTTCATTGTGGAGCCTTCTCCATGAATGTACCTTGCATTGATGCTCACAAGACACCTGCAAACCGATGACATCATCAGTGTGGCAGAAACTGTTCATACTTAGTTTGCACACATTTGAGTTTGTTTTTGGGGGTTTTTCAAAAAAAAAATTGTAAGTTTCACAAAATTATACACAAACAAAACACACAAACAAACAATCATAAATCATAACCTTATTAAAATTACACTTATTAACATTGTTAAGTGACTTCCTCACTTCCCCTTGGTTGAATTTCCATGCATATCCTTATAACGGCTTTCCAAATCTTAATTCTTATAAACTTAACTTAGTCCATTAACATCTTTACATCTTTTCAATTCGAAATTGTACATGTTAAACATCACTTAACTTATATAAATTCCTAAGCCAATCTCATAGAATCATAGAATCATAGAGTTGGAAGAGACCACAAGGGCCATCGAGTCCAACCCCCTGCCAAGCAGGAAACACCATCAGAGCACTCCTGACATATGGTTGTCAAGCCTCTGCTTAAAGACCTCCAAAGAAGGAGACTCCACCACACTCCTTGGCAGCAAATTCCACTGTCGAACAGCTCTTACTGTCAGGAAGTTCTTCCTAATGTTTAGGTGGAATCTTCTTTCTTGCAGTTTGGATCCATTGCTCCGTGTCCGCTTCTCTGGAGCAGCAGAAAACAACCTTTCTCCCTCCTCTATGTGACATCCTTTTATATATTTGAACATGGCTATCATATCACCCCTTAACCTCCTCTTCTCCAGGCTAAACATGCCCAGTTCCCTTAGCCGTTCCTCATAAGGCATCGTTTCCAGGCCTTTGACCATTTTGGTTGCCCTCCTCTGGACACGTTCTGTTGCCTGCAAGCTATTTCCAATTAGTTAAACTTAACAAATTTAGCTAAATAATCATTAAATTTTGTCCATTCTTCCTGATACTCCTCCTCCTTCTGGTCGCGGACTCTTCTGGTTAGGTCGGCTAGCTCCGAAAAATCCATCATCTTGAGTTTGAATTGATATGAATCAGAAAGGCAATTTGTTGTAAGTAATTACAGAGCAGAACCAGCACTATCTTCTACTCACTGCAACGGTTTGACCTTACAACCTTAAGGCTACAACAAAGGTCAGCCAGCAGTGGGTGGTAGGGCTCAATTACCTATACTGACTTGGATTAACCAACCAGTTATTTGGGTCCAGGCATCTAATGGTTTGTTGTGTGGTTTTTATGGTGTATATGATTTGCTTGACTTTTAAAACCTAGACGTTCTGCCTCTTCAGAGTTGTATGGGTACATGAGGAGGGAAATCTATGAGAAATGGATAACTGAATCACTTCATCTATTTTTAAAAGACTTTTTAGTACGCAGGGAAAAGGTAGGTAGACTTCCAAGCCCATTGGCTCTTACGATAATGGTTCAGATAACACAGTATAAAGTAGTAAAGCAAGTTCATGCAGGCATGTAGTGCTCTGTTGACTTCTGCTAAGCTAATAAATGGAGAAGTCTCTCCTCTTTTAACTCTGGGTGGCTAGTTTACTATAAATTCCTTTTGGCTCACAAGCAATTTGTGGTATTTTATCTCTGTAGCTACTGGCAATCCTGAGGTTGCCGTTGGTGCTGTGCAGATCGCTTTGCAAAGCACCAGACAGCCACAGAAACCTGCCCAGAGTGAGTGAGGAGGAGTAGATTGGGCCGCCTTCCCTGCACAAGGAAGTATCTCCTTGTTTAACGAGGGTTAAAACATTAATTACTGTAATTAACAGATTCATTAATCTGCAGATGATTACAGATTTTAAATAGAGGTCACGTAAGAATACAAGAAGAACCCTACTGGATTAAAACAAAGCCCTTTCTAGTCCACCCTGGTTCCCACGGTGGCTATCAGCTGCCTATGAAAAGCCTACAAGCAAGGCATGGGCACAACAGCACTCTTCCCTCTTATCCTGGAGGTAACATATACAGTTGTTAACATAGCAAGTAGCAGCCATATAAAGTCTTGCCCTCCAGGAATTTGCTTAATCTCCATTTATAGTCCTCTAAATTGGTGGCCATCAACACACCTTGTGGTGGTATTCAGTACAGATAGCACCAACACATCTTGTTAACATTTGCATTAAGTGAGAAAGGACTTCCTTCCGCCTGTCCTGAGTCTCCCATCATTCACGTCACTGGATGGTCTTGGTTTCTGGAATTATGAGAAAAGGAGAATATGTAGTTTGTAAAGGATATAGCTTGTTGTAGCTTTGACCTCAGTTCTCAGGATTATTTGGGGGAAACCCATGTGCTTTAAATGTGTGTTGGATATGCTTTCAGTGTAGGGTGTAGATAAGACCATCCACAAGATAGTGTACTCTACTACTATTGGATGCGGGTGGCGCTGTGGTCTAAACCACTGAGCCTCTTGGGCTTGCCAAGCAGAAGGTCGGCAGTTCGAATCCCTATGACGGGGTGAGCTCCCATTGCTCTGTCCCAGCTCCTGCTAGCCTAGCAGTTCGAAAGCATACCAGTGCAAGTAGATAAATAGGTACCGCTGCGGCGGGAAGATAAAGGGCGTTTCCATTCACTCTGGTTTCTGTCACAGTGTTCTGTTGTTCCAGAAGTGGTTTAGTCGTGCTGGCCACATGACCCGGAAAGCTGTCTGTGGACAAACGCCGGCTCCCTTGGCCTGAAAGCAAGATGAGCGCTGCCCCCCATAGTCACCTTTGGCTGGACTTAATCTGTCCAGGGGTCCTTTTCCTTTACCTTTCTCTATAAGACCTTAGTCCATCCTCAAGATAGTGTACACTACTGCTATCGGTAAGTTACAGTACTACCATGGATATTTTGAGTTCTAAGTGCCCTTGAGTGGGCCTGCCGCACCTCTGTAAACAGGGAAATCTAGCCATTCAAGATGTCCACATGGCAGGATTGTGAGTTCACAAACAATCTTGGGTGTGCAAGCACAGTAGCCAGAAAAAGGCAGTGTGGCCTGCAAATGCCTTGCAGATTTTGATGTGAGGTGTTCAGCATTTTGGAAAGAATACATTGAGGTGTTTGCAGAATGACAACATATTGATTTTCAAGCTCTCATGGAGAAAATCATGCCCAGAAAAGATCCTTAAACCTTCAACTGCTCAGGAAAAAGGGTCATCACCCTCCCCAAGTCGAATTGCATTGCCCAGGACAAATGCAAATATTGTAGCCCTACTGGTAAGGACAATTATCCTGGGATCGTCTTCAGCATGATTGTCTAAAGGTTTATTTACTTCAGGAATAGGGACAGAACATGGATAGGTGCACAATCTCTTTCCCAAATGAGCCACAGGTTTAAATGTGAATCTGGACTCACAATCAATTGAGAGCAATGGAAAGAACCCACATTTACATTTTGCATTTTGATTTACGGCAGCAATTCCTGATGTAAAGTTATGATAAACATTCAGTGGAGTTTTTGTGGGCGTCAAAAGGCAAGACATAGACAACTCCACAGATATAGAGACAGGATTGACAAATCCCTGGAGATAACTATTCCATCTCCCACCCCCATGGCTTCAAGCCATGGCACAAAAAGCACGAAGAGTCAGGCCTAGAGATCTTGAACCCCATAAATTTGCAATTGTTTTAGCCACTGAATGTTGATAGTACTAAGAGAAGGAAAGGCATGCAGTGCTTATCACTTAATGAATTTAATTACTATCTGCATCTGCTCTAATTTAGCAAAGGCCTAGGAGATATTCTTAATAACTTTCAGCATAGAGCAACTTTCATCCAACATTCTCAAGGACTTCTCCTCCAAATTTTAATTAATGAAGACTCTCTCAACATGCCAGGAGGCATGTGAATATTAATAATCTTCTGCATCCTTGATGGGTTCATGAAGGTATGGAGGTCAAGTTTATTCCCATATGGTCAAACAGGTGAATCAGCAGAACTGAACAGAACTAGCTGATCTGAGAACTTGTGTTGCTTCAGCAACTACGTAGACGTCTAGCACTTTAAAGGGGTTACCAGCATTCCGCAACCTGGTGCCTTCCAGGTGATGCTAGAGACCAGCTCCCATTAGCCCTAACCAGCATGGTCAATGGTCAGGGTCAGGAAAGTTGTAGTTCAAAATACATGCAAAGCAACAGATTGGGGAAGGCTAAGACAATCTATTTTTCAATATCTGTGAAGAAACTGGAATCTAATAGAAACCAGAAACTTGCAGCCAGAACATTTCAATATGTAAAAGTATTGGTGCTGACCTTTAAAGCCCTAAACAACCACAGTCCAGCATCTCCACCCCCATCGTTCAACCCAGACAACTGAGGTCCTCCTCCAAGGGTCTTTTGGTGGTTCCCTCCCTGCGAGAAGCGAAGCTACAGGGAACCAGGCAGAGGGTCTTCTGGGTAGTGGCGCCCTCCCTGTGGAACCTCCTCCCATCAGATGTCAAAGAGATAAAGAACTACACAACGTTTAGAAGACATCTGAAGGCAGCCCTGTATGTATCAGGAAGTTTCTAATGTTTGATGTTTTACTATGTTTTCATATATGCTGTAAGCTGCCCAGAGTGGCTGGAGAAACTCAGCCAGATGGGTGGGGTATAAATAATAAAATCATTACTATCATTTATTAAAATTTGGCCCTATCACCTGCTGTATCTTGACCTCAGTTGCCCCCTTAAGGGTTGCCAAGTCACAATGTTGCATCCGAAGCTAAGGATGAGCAGAACCTCCTGGTTTTCACATTAACCAGAAGGAAATAATCTCAGTGGTTGCTTCACCGACTGGTTTCTCAGGGTTCTCTCAGGGGGGCAAGTGTCTACTCATTACAAAGCAAGTCCTCTGAGAAATGTTGTGCCCTCAGAAAGACAATGCTCATTGGCCTTAACCCCCTGAGCTTGATGCATAATAGAACCAACCAGGGCAGTTGGCCTTCTCTATCCTGTTGCATAAGAAGAACCTAGTCCCATAAGCAGAACGTGAGCACAAGAGTTGTCTCCCCTGTGGTTTCCAGCAACTGGTATTCAGAAGCATTGCTGCATTACCAGCCATTGTGGCTAGTAGCCATCAATAGCCTCTTCTCCATAAATTTGCCTACACCGCTTTTAAAGCCATGTGGGTTGGTGGCCATTCCTGCCTCCTTTAGGATCGAGTTCCATCGCTTAAATATGCACTGCTTTCTTATATCTGTCCTATCCCTCGGCTGTGTGCATTCCTTTCTTCTATGGCTTCATTGCCCCGGGTCAAGTCAAATATCTGCCATGATCTGATAGCTTGCAAATGTGTGTGCAACATTGTTGAAAAAGCAATAAACTCCTTGGGATTGGTGATGGGAGAAAGGGTGCTCTTAGCTCTCTGGCACTGACTTGTTTTGTGCCATGTCAGATGCCTGGTGCTGTTTGGGCTACCTGTTCTAGGAATCCATTTTGATGTGCTACCCAAATTGGTGTTGAAAGCTACAGTACTGGGTAATTTAAATTAAATGTAAATACCCAGAAGAGCCATGGGACACAGGTGGCGCTGTGGGTTAAACCACAGAGCCTAGGACTTGCCGATCAGAAGGTCAGCGGTTCGAATCCCCGCGACGGGGTGAGCTCCCGTTGCTCGGTTCCTGCTCCTGCCAACTTAGCAGTTCGAAAGCACCTCAAAGTGCAAGTAGATAAATAGGTACCACTCCGGAGGGAAGGTAAATGGCGTTTCCGTGCGCTGCTCTGGTTTGCCAGAAGCGGCTTAGTCATGCTGGCCACATGACCCTGTACGCCGTCTCCCTCGGCCAATAAAGCGAGATGAGCGTCGCAACCCCAGAGTCGGTCACGACTGGACCTAATGGTCAGCGGTCCCTTTACCTTTACCTTTTTTACCCAGAAGAGCCATTTATAGAAGAAAGCGGTAAATGCAGCCTTTCTAGATTGCCCTCACACTTTTTGAGATTTTTTTGTTGCTTGCCTAGATTTCACAAATCATGTAGTAGATCCATATAGGATTAGGAGATAACACTGTGGACAACCCTGCGATCTCAATGGTTGCTTTCTTCTGAGGGAGGAAGGGGGATCCATTTTGACTTTGCATAATTACACAACATAAAAATGTACGTAAGTGCTAATAAAAAAGGGTTCTCCATACATCTGTACAATGGTACCTTGGGTTACATACGCTTCAGGTTACAGACTCCACTAACCCAGAAATAGTGCTTCAGGTTAAGAACTTTGCTTCAGGATAAGAACAGAAATCGGGCTCTGGCGGCGCAGCAGCAGCAGGAGGCCCCATTAGCTAATGTGGTGCTTCAGGTTAAGAACAGTTTCAGGTTAAGAACGGACCTCCGGAACGAATTAAGTACTTAACCTGAGGTACCACTGTATATTTATTTACTTGCTTAAAAATGCTTATCCCCTGTTTTGGGGTGTGAGGCCTCACAAGGCAACTAACAAAATGAATCTTAAATAAAATAAAATAAGCTATTTCAGAAAACAATTAGCAAATCAAGGCACAGGAGTTAGAGAGTCAGGTAGCATCTTCCTCCCTCCCTCCTTGCAGAGCCAATTCTGCCATTCTAGTTTCTCCTGTATGTATAAGGTGCATTCAGAACTTCCCCGTGTACTGCTTCTCACACCAACTGAATTGAAGGCACGGGCTGGACTTGGTCTCACATAACTTGATTTCCACATGAAAGCGAGAGAAGTGTCATCTGCATACTGCATTGATAAGCTCCACACATACCCATACATACGGCTTCTATCTCCATTCAACAGTGTGTACTTCCCATTGTGTAACAGAGGAGGTAAAGCAAATCTTTTAAAAAACCAAAAACCCATTCTCAGCTCCACGCCAGTGGAAGTTTGTTTTCTGCATTCTTTTAGACGTAACTTTAAAAGCATATTATTCAAACAGGCCATTGCAATGTGAATTTCTACAGCCAGTACTTATTGGTGTTTTAACTGATTCTTTTATTGACCTTGCAATTTGGTATGCTGTATATCACCTTGCTTTCTTTACTTTACTTTCTTGGGCTCCATGATCACTGCAGATGGTGACAGCAGCCACGAAATTAAAAGACGCCTGCTTCTTGGGAGAAAAGCAATGACAAACCTTTACAGCATCTTAAAAAGCAGAGACATCACCTTGCCAACAAAGGTCCATATAGTTAAAGCTATGGTTTTCCCAGTAGTGATGTATGGAAGTGAGAGCTGGACCATAAAGAAGGCTGGTCGCCGAAGAATTGATGCTTTTGAATTATGGTGCTGGAGGAGACTCTTGAGAGTCCCATGGACTGCAAGAAGATCAAACCTATCCATTCTGAAGGAAATCAGCCCTGAGTGCTCACTGGAAGGACAGATCCTGAAGCTGAGGCTCCAATACTTTGTCCACCTCATGAGAAGAGAAGACTCCCTGGAAAAGACCCTGATGTTGGGAAAGATGGAGGGCACAAGGAGAAGGGGAGGACAGAGGACAAGATGGTTGGATAGTGTTCTCGAAGCTACCAGCATGAGTTTGACCAAACTGTGGGAGGCAGTGGAAGACAGGAGTGCCTGGCGTGCTCTGGTCCATGGGGTCACGAAGAGTCGGACACGACTAAACGACTAAACAACAACACAATACCACCTTGCTGTATTTTAATGAAAGTGCGGTCTATAAACATTTCAGTAGATAAAATTATATGCAAATGCACATACGTACACAGTTAACTGTTAGATTAATAGTCTGATCCGGTCTCTCCTCTACCACTCGGGTAGCTTGTATCTTTCTGTTCTCGCCACCACAGCAATATCCTGTCTTGCCACATCTCTGTCAGTCTTAGCTAAAGCTGGCAGGGGATTTGCCTCTAGTCTAGACTTCAGTCTAACTGTAGTGTTAATTGTAGGTTGCAAGAGGCTGCATTCTGCATTTGCCATAGCTCTGGCCACTGACATCACTTTGATCTTTATCCTTGGAAATCACATTCATTGAGAAAAGCTAAAACAAATTTCTCCCTCAGAGAGCTACCATCAAAGGCTGCGCTCTTTCAACTTGAACATTATCCCTGAAGCTTTGAGACTGCAATTAGAAATCAAATGCTGACTAATGTTCATCTGCTCTCAGTATCTTGCTGCAGAAATGGTAAAGCACCACAGGGCCTTACTCAGGGTACAATGCTGAATTTCATATCTACGTGCCAGGTTTAGATAGCTTTTAGAAAATGTAGGCTTTAAAGGGGAATAGCAGGAAAACATAGTATTTTATGGTTACGGTAATACTATGATCACCTGACACCGGAGGGCAAAACCATGGCATAAAAGAAATTAGCTGGCATTTGACTGGCATATTTATAACTGACACAGTTGTTTGAAGGGGTGCCTAGAGAATTTTATTAAGGTTGCATTATCCCTGGCGTAGTGTGGATCTTGTCCTCACATCTTTCTTTTTTTAAGCTTTTTAGCATTTATTAAATTCACTCTGTAAAAAATCTGACACACATAAAACCAATGAGAGATAAGGAATGGAAAGTGACCCCACCGAAAGAAACTTTACAGTACAAATTTAAATCCATACAATTTAATCTTGAACAGCAACTTAATCTTAATCTTGGCTTAATCTTGAAGTGTAATCCAATGAGACTGAAGACAAGACACTTGAGGTCCTGGACAAGGTAGTAAAACACTCTTAGACCTTCTGGCTCCTTGGACTGATTTACATCAATAAGAGAACCAATTTTTGATGTGGTAAAAGAGATGTGTTCATCACCAATTACAATTTCAAGCTCCGGCCGGCCAACTCTGTCAGGAGGCGGCCATAACGCATCATCTTCTTTCGTGATTTCACTGTCATCGATTATCCTCTTTAGCTCTTCCATCACACGTTTGTGTACGTAGGCTTCTTTTCTGATCATGACATCATTTTTATAATTGCTCTTGTTTGCATATCTCAGTTTCCCGTCAGGGCGGAACTCGAGAAACTTGTGGCCGAACTTCCTCTTGTGCCCAACGTAATAACGCAGATAGAAATCGCTCGCCATGGCCGCATATTCCCCACCGGCCCGCCGAGACCTTGTCCTCACATCTTAAACAAGAAGCTGAGAGTTCATTAAACCTCAGGACCCTTTGGCTTCTAGAAGCCCAAAATGAAGCCCATAGCCCTCACACCACTGCAATAGTTTGCTTGTGTGGTTTTAGAAATGCCTAAGGCAAGGTAAGGGACGCGGGTGGCGCTGTAGGTTAAACCACAGAGCCTAGGACTTGCCGATCAGGTGGTCAGCGGTTCGAATCCCCGTGATGGGGTGAACTCCCATTGCTTGGTCCCTGCTCCTGCCAACCTAGCAGTTCGAAAGCACGTCAAAGTGCAAGTAGATAAATAGGTAACGCTCCAGCGGGAAGGTAAATGGCGTTTCCGTGCGCTGCTCTGGTTTGCCAGAAGCGGCTTAGTCATGCTAGCCACATGACCTGGAAGCTGTACGCTGGCTCCCTCGGCCAATAAAGTGAGATGAGCGCCGCAACCCCAGAGTCGGTCACGACTGGACCTAATGGTTAGGGGCTCTTTACCTTTACCTTTACCTTTAAGGCAAGGTAGCAGTGAATACCAGTAACTGGGAAACCACAGGAGGGAAGAGTGTTCTTCTACTCAAATCCTGCTTGGGAGTTTCCCACAGGTATCTGATGGGCCACTATGAGAACAGGATGCTGGACTATGTGGGCCTTTGGCCTGATCCAGCAGGCACTTATGTCCTTATGGTGACCTCCAGATGTTATGGGTCCCTATCTCACATCAGTCCCGGTCACCATGGTGAATGGTCAAAGTTGATAGAATATGGAGTTGCACATCGAGGTCCCCAAGCCACGCCAATAAAACACAATTCACACAGAATTTTTGTTTAAGGCTTTGGGCAAAATTTTGACCACAACTTTATTAAAATACAGAAAATGTGACTGGTTGCTTAGGCACTGGTTGCGACTATCTGTCCCCACCCAGGGCAGACTGACATTCGCACGCCCACGAAAGTCAGAAAGGGAAAACATTGTGGGGAGAAAGATGGAGCTGGGAACCATGCCCTCACCTCTCCCCAAATGCTCTCAGGGACTCTTGCATAGCCCTAGCCCCTTGACAGGGGTTTGAACAAAAGCATGGCAAGCCCCTGGATTCCTTTAACAGAATACCCCTGCAGCAGCAGCATTGGAGGGGCAGGCACAGCCAATCCATGCCCTTCCACCAACCACTTAATAAAAACCAATGCCTAACCGCAACCTTACAAGTTGTGACAATTTGCTGCACAGTAGGCAAAAACCAAATGGCACCAGCCAATCAGCCAGATGGACAAAATTCCTACCAGGCCCCCGCTCCAAAGCAGACGACCCCATGACAGGCATAGCAAGGTCAAGCGAACAACCCTAAATATAGGGAGGGTGGGCGGGGGATCTGATGCTCGCAGTGAAAAGAGGAAGCTCAATGCTGCGCGCAGGGAATATAAAACTTCTTGGCTGTCAGTCATAAAATGGCAACATCAAATTCTCCCCAATGACAAAGAGGAGCCCAGTCGCAATGGTGGCCAACTACCTTTACCCGCCCAGCAACAGTGGGATGCCTTGGAAGAGCCCACCGCAACACATGCTCTCCATGAAGGAGAACACACTTTCCAAAATAATCTGGAGAACATCACGTTGACTACCCCTGGTCTAGGTGTGTACCTAAACAAAGCCCTTAAAAAAAAAAGATTGATAGTTTTATAGTATTACTGTCAATGCAGAAATCAAAGAGAACTAAAAGACAGTCTTGAATTTAAGCTGGTTTGAGGCCATATGGCTAGCCTTCCAAGGAGTGCATGAAATGCATTCTTAGGAAAGTTGGTATATATATATATATATATATATATATATATATATATATATATATATGACAAAATCCACTTTTAATAGTGTCAAGAGCATTTGGTGGCCAATGATCATTAGGACTTCATGTAAATATGTAAACATTATTACAGGCTCAGCTCAAGGGAAAATACATCCTCCTGATTGCCAGAGGCCATTTGGATCACCAGCTCAATAGACCTCTTCCCATTTCTTGACTTTAGTCCCTTTGACTTTGTTGTTGTTGTTGTTGTTTAGTTGTTTAGTTGTGTCTGACTCTTCGTGACCCTATGGAGCAGAGCACGCCAGGCACTCCTGTCTTCCCCTGCCTCCCGCAGTTTGGTCAAACTCATATATAATATTGCTAATTGCTGAGACATCTTTGTTTTCCTTACTTAGCACTAGGGTTAGAATGGTTTTATTTTTGTGGGTCATGGCTTCCTGCCATTTGCAACACAAGTTCTACTCTAAAGAAAATAAAATGGCTTGCAGGCTGCCTACTTACGTGGTGTACAGGCTTTCTATTTTTAAGAAAAATTAAAGAGGATTAGTGCAATAATGCAGAGCATACAGAATTGTTTCTTGCCAGCCTTGGATGAATATTTACAAGCGCCCAATTCCTGCCTCCCAAATACTTCAGAAGCAATTAAATGGGGAAATGCAGTCGAATGGCCTTTATATTGCATTTCCTGCTAATTTGATCTGTTGGATTAACTGATGCTAGTGAGGTACCCATAAAATTGTGCAAACACACATTGTTCCACCTGTTGTTGTTTAGTCGTTTAGTCGTGTCCGACTCTTTGTGACCCCATGGACCAGAGCACACCAGGCACTTCTGTCTTCCACTGCCTCCCGCAATTTGGTCAGACTCATGCTGGTAGCTTCGAGAACACTGTCCAACCATCTCGTCCTCTGTCGTCCCCTTCTCCTTGTGCCCTCCATCTTTCCCAACATCAGGGTCTTTTCCAGGGAGTCTTCTCTTCTCATGAGGTGGCCAAAGTATTGGAGTCTCAGCTTCAGGATCTGTCCTTCCAGTGAGCACTCAGGGCTGATTTCCTTAAGAATGGAGAGGTTTGATCTTCTTGCGGTCCATGGGACTCTCAAGAGTCTCCTCCAGCACCATAATTCAAAAGCATCAATTCTTCGGCGATCAGCCTTCTTTATGGTCCAGATCTCACTTCCATACATCACTACTGGGAAAACCATAGCTTTAACTATACGGACCTTTGACTTTAACCTTCAACAAATCTGCCTACTTTTCCTGCTTCACTGGAAAAGTGAAGACATAGATTTGCATATTTAAAGGGGGGGGGAGGCAAAGGCATACATTTACCGAATAAAGCTTTGTATCTTCCCTCTGTTGGAAGATTTAGGACAGATAAAAGAAAGTAATTCTTCACCCAGTGTGTCGTTAAACTAGGGAACTCACTCTCACGGGAGGCACAGTGATGGTCACTGACTTGGATGGCTTTAAAAAAGGACTAGACAAATTCATGGAGGACTATCAATGGCCACTAGCTACGTGTAATGACTATGATCTGTTTTCAGAGTTGGGGGCAGCAATGCTTCCAAACACCAGTTGTTGGAAACCACAGGAGGGGAGAGTGCTCTTATGTACATGTGTTTTTCGCTGGTTTCCCGAAGGGATTTGGTTGGCCACTGGAAGAACAGGAAGCTGGACTAGATGGGCTTCTGTAGTGTGACTGAGTGGTCTACAGGGTTGAAGTAAGGCTTCAGTCACATACCAGTATATTGAGGCCCTAAATTTCAGGGGAAGGACCAAAGCTCTGTGGTAGAGCATCTACTTTGTGTGCAGAAGGTCCCAGGTTCTGCTCTGAACATCTACAGTTAGGCTGGACTGGGAATGTCCATTGAAACTCTGGAGAGACACTGCCAATGTACACAATACAGAGCTTGACGGACCAATGGTCAGACTCAAGGAAAGGTAGCTGCCTATGTCTTCTCAGTTAAAATGATGTGTGTGGCACAAAGAATTGTAGAGTTGGAAGTGACCATGAGAGTCATCTAGTCCAACCCCCTGCAGTGCAGGAATCTTTCAACCAATATGGGGCTCAACCCTGAGATTGTGTCTCATGCTCTATCAACTGAGCTATCCGAGGCTATAACAACATATACATCAGAGGGGTTTTATTCAGCCCCTTTTTATCATTTCCTCTTGAATTATTTGGCTTCCATTGCTTCTATGAATTTGGCTCACCAGGATTCAATAAGTGGACTGTTATGTACTGAGTTGAATGGGATCCAAAATGCAGCAGTCTGATTGGTCCTAGAACAATAGGATCCAAAATGCAGCAGTCTGATTGGTCCTAGAACAATAGGATTCAGAATGCAGCAGTCTGATTGGTCCTAGAACAATGCAGCAGTATGATTGGTCCGCAGGAGCCACCCAATCCAGCTCCAGGTGGAAGTGAATCCACAACCTGATTGGCCTACAGGAGAATCCAGGAATTAGCCAATCACGTGCAGCCCATTGTGTAAATAATGTATATAAAGATATTTCATGGACACAAAGCATACAATAAAAATCTGTTGGCTACCTCTGCTAAATAATGTCGATATCTGTCTATCTCGGGAGACAATGGAGGAGCATGCCTTTGAGGGTGAAGTCAAACTGTTGGAAGGTTGCAGCACCTGCTGTGGCTGTGGAGACTGTTGCCGGAGTGACATCTTTTGTTGCAGCTGGGGCAGATGAAGGCATCTGGTTGTGCTACTGCAAATGCACCATGGCGTTTCTTCTCCCTCCGCTCCTCCCAGCTGTCATTCCTCCTCTGGTCACTGCTATAGATACACAACCTGACTATCTGTCTCCAAGCACTGCAGTCATCTACAAAGGATTCCCAAACAGTGGGGTTGATGTTGCCAGTGTCTATGTCACATATGCAGAAATCTTTGTAACACAGACTTGGTGCCTGGAGCCAGTTCCCCGTAGAGCGCGTCCTTGGGGATCCTGCCATCTTCCATTCTGTAGACATGACCAAGCCGCCGTAGATGTCACTGAGACAGGAGTGCAAACATGTTGGGAATGTGGACTTGGGAGAGCACATCTTTGTACTGCCGTGTGATACCCTAAATCTTCCTGACGCAGCTCATGTGGATGGTTTGAGGCACTGCTCCTCACAGTTGTAAGTTGCCCATGACTCACTTCCATAAAGCAGCA